TGTAGCTGTAGAAATTCTGTCATCCATCCCCAAACCCCCCCCCCCCCCGCGTGCTACCGGTTCAGAAAGCCTCGTGCACATCAGCATTACATCATAATGAGCTCCACCAGCTGCTCATCAGGGAGACGTCTGACACCAGCAGGATGAGGCCAAAACTGTGTCTTAATATTTCTAGTTACTTTGTAAGTGGCCATGCCGAATTTAACAGGGCTCCCCATATCAAAGAAATATATAAATACAAGTTTAAAATAAAGAAAACGTTTACAACAAAGGGGAAGAGTGGGAATGTGGGACATTTCCAGTGCACAAATCAGAAGGCAGCGTTAGAAATAAACGTGTCACTGGCATTTCCAGCCACACTCTGGTGGAGCTTTACTGGGGACCAGTCGAGCAGACTGTGATTTATTTAGAAATTATAAATTATGTCCGCTATATGCCTCGCTTTTGTTCCCAGCCAGCCACGCTGACACAATGCGTGGCACAGCTAGCCGGTTTGGCGGCGTTAGCCCGGCTACAAATAGCCCCGGCGGGGGCCGCCCGGACCCGCCGAAGGGACACCGGTGCTCCGCGTTTTTACCTGCCGGCCCTCGGCACCGACCTGTCCGCCTCCGGCCCTTCCTCCGCCGGCTGCAGCTCGCCCGCTTTCCCGTCGCTGCTGCTGGTGGTTGCCATGTCGCGTCGGCGCGGAAACCAAACAGTGCGGACGTCATGACGTCAGAGGACGCACGCTGATGACGTATTTAAAGTCGTCGGAGGATCTTCCTAACTGAATGAAACATTTCACAGTGATTGTATATAATTATTTAAAATATGATATAGAAAACTGTTTTAAAAACAGTCTCATGCCCACTGATGCTATCACACAATAAACATTAAGGTAAAGATGGCTGACTGGGGCGTCTAACTAATAACGTAGCCTATTATCTAGCCTGAAAAAGATAATTCAATTAAGATTTAATATATATATATATTTAAATACACCAAAAGGTTATTTGTATGATATACTTTTATGACCAATAATTTATTCATTAAAATGTGTTTCTCCCATTTGTATTGGAACATGCAATGGACAGAAGATCTGAAATGGCTTTTTGTTCAATTAATTATTTGACAAACTGATGATTTAAACTGATTTTGATCATTCACTTCTGATTTACTTTTTCAGTCTTTGGTCAGTTGAGAGCAGGATAATTAGGCTACTTTAGGCCACTCTTGTGGCACTATGGAGCTGAATTAAAAAATTAAAAAATACAGGAGTACACAATACATTTTATTGAAGGCCAAGAAGGCAAAAAATACTTTGCTAAATGAAGGTGTACGATGCAGCATTTCAATTTTTTTCAATTTAATTTTTAGAAAGTTAACAGTCATCCTGCTGAGGCCTTAACTCAATGGAATAAAATGACACCTTTATGTATTCATTATGATGTAACTAGTATTTTTGTATTTTTTTGGCAGGCTATAAATTTGAGTGTTTTGTATGTTTAAATCAACAATTCTCAAGCTTTAATGTCGACACAAACCGAGCTGGTATAGGTAAACATTTGGTCAGAAATTTGAATTTGAAAATAGAAACTAAATCTTTTCATGTAAACGTGGGATGTGTGTTTTAAACTGTTTTTGCAGCTCTCATATATTCGCCCTGTTGGGGGAATGATTTTCTGTGACGTGTGTCCC